TTCATCATGACAAAAAAAAACTCTTATGACTTTCCTCCCCAGCCACAGTGACCCACAGCATACCTTCAGCCACCTTGCTACAGGGCACAAATGAACTTGTATGCCTGGTCTTTGGCTTCAGCCCTGCATCCATTAATATCACTTGGTATGATGGACCAAAGGAATTGTTGGACTACAACACTAGTGAGCCCCACAGAGGCCAGAACGGAAAGTTCAGTATCCAAAGTCACCTCCGTCTGTCCCAGGGCAACTGGTTACAAGGGAAAATAATTACCTGCAGGGTGGTGCATGTAAACACCACCCTATCCCTGAATATATCTAAACCAGGTACAAGTTCATCCATTTGATCTCCGTCTTCTTACACTTTAAAGATTTCACGTCAAGTTGCCACTTATTTCATACATTGACTCAGTTTGGTAACTGCATAGATTATCTTATTAAAATCTCCTCACAGTCCTTCCATGATAAAAAAGTCAATGTAATAGTTCACTAACAAATCTCAATTCTTTCACAGGCACATTGGAGCACTGTGACTTCTTTGATGACATCATGCATGCAGATGTGAACGAAGACATGGGTGTCGAAAGCTGGTATATAGCTTTCACTTTCCTCCTCTTTTTCCTCATCTCTTTCATCTATGGTGTCTTGACTACCATAATTAAGACTTAATGATGATGATCACAGGACAAATCCTATTTCATGATTCAAATGACATATGACCTGATTAGTTTTAGATTCCTTTTTTTTCAAAATTTCTTTTTCATTTTCTTTTCTTTTTTTATACTTTTGTTATCATGGAATTTTATGGAGGTGGTTCATTCTATGTTCATTTCTTTTGATGCTTCAATGTATTTGCTGTGGAATGTATGTTACGCAAATGTGTGAGAGGAAAAAAGACAAAATAAATGAAGCTTCAAATTCTGATTTCAGTTTCAAATTCTAATATAGTCGACAGAAATTCAAAGACTGCACTCGTTCTTGCATTTAGTAAAAGTAAAGATTCAAAGATGGAAAACAATGTTTGTCACAATTTGCCTCATTCATTACAATACATCAAATGATGACATACTGATATTAAACAGTATAATGTACCATGTCACAGTACCACACCTGTATTACTCAGACTGTCCTCAAGAGTGAGACAAAGTTCAACATGCATTTGTGGTGATTGACCACATCTGTGTGAAACACTGGTCATGTAGTAATTTGAAGCTGCTCACAGGTCTGAACTGAACTTTCTGAATGGAATGATACAGAGATATATTTACTGAAAAACACACACTGTTTTTAAGTCTCATCTCCTTAGCATACATACACGGACACAGACAGTCACTGTAAATGGGGGCATACTGCCTTTCATTTAGAGGTTTGTGTTTTGGCCTATGTATGTGTACATTGATGACATTATGCACATCCATGGTTACGATTGGCTACCTCTGGGTATTCTCACTCAAGTATAAAATTCAATCTTTCATCGTTACTGTGGTGACTGTGACAGATGACAATACACAATTTGTAATACCAATCATTAGCCAATCACAAGAGTCAGGGTGGTACTTACTTTACTTTCTTGACCAAGTGTGGCACAGCTAATACTTTATATAATTTCAACATTTTCATATGAGCAATAATTGAAAAGCTTTCCTATTCGAAAAGTGTTCCTGAATGCAGCTCATGTAAGGTTACTTTTTATATATATGTTCACAACTCGAATTACAAGGGCCTGAGATAATCTGTTTCTTCTAATGTATTTATTCATTCATTTTTATAGTTTATTTTTCAGGTTGTCAGTTGTTTATAAAGATAAGCTGGTGATGTAATTGTTTAATTCAACCAGTGTACTTTAATTACCTTCAAACTCATGATTAATAAGTCTAACATGTTCTTGGGAATAATATAATATAATATCAAGCTTCCAAACCAACAACTTCACTTTTAAGGTTTTTTATAATATCAGTTTGTTGTGGGACATTTTTGTTCACATATCAGCTGTTTAATGAAAGGCAGAAAAGAAAGTGAAGACTACCATTTAGTGGGAAAGGCTTTATGGAGATTAAATAGTCAGTCATTTGGTCTTGATGCAGTAAATTGAAAGGACATGTGATTGAGACCACAAAAAAAAAAATGTTATCCTTGCAGCCAAACTGAACCTTGCACATCCAGATGTAGGCGTTTTGTGTGGACAACAAGGCCTTATAGCTGTGTTTTCATATGTGGCCATTAGCAGCAGCAGCATTGGAAGTGTGCAGTGGAGAGAAGACATTTAGAGGTGATATCACTCAATGTTTCCTTTCATGCAATAGCAATGTGACTGTACAGGTCATTGCCCCTGTACCATCCTGTTCTGCCACACTCCACCCCAACCCGAGAAGCTGCTGTCTCTGGCAAAGTACCTCAGTGGCTTTTGGGCTTTGATGACATGACATGATGTACAATTCACCTCACAAAGGAGAACATATATGAGGCAACTATAACTTGCAAGGCTTTTTGTAAGGGCTGATTAATGGTGTGGGAAAGACACCTCTACAGGAGCCTGTCCTGTAGAACAACTGCATAACTTGAGAAAACTTACTGGATCATCTCATAATGCTAAGAGTATTGAATTGAATTTGAAAGTTTAGCTAATGCTCATAAGTATTGGTGTGGGTTAACTTTTTTCAGTTTTTAAATATAAATTAAATAAATGCAGACATTGAAACTGTATTATGTAATTGACTCAAATTACTTTAGTTCCTCAGAGATTTACAGAGTACAGCTATTATCTAGAGAATGCAACCACATCCTTGTGGAACCTGCTAATGCAAACTCCCCAATGCAATATTTGCAATCACATCTCAAACACTTCCTTTTTTTATTTAATAATTTATGAAATTGATCTATTTAAACTGAAATTCTACACCTGAATTACTTTCATACTTGTGTTGTACTGTATGTTAAAATTTGACAATAGTGTGACTTAATACTTAATATTAATTTGGCTGAATCTAGTTCATCTGGTTGTGTGAGGTCCATGCTGCAGGAACTGGAGCAGACAGGATTGTCTGACAGAGAGGAAGTGTTCAATAGTTGTTGACAAAAACACAAAATTTTATATAACCCAGACCTCAGGAAGTGAATATCTCAAGGGAAATGGTTAACAAATGATACAGTGGAAACTGCTTTGTCAGTGAAACCTGTTTATGTTGCTTGGTTTAAAAAAAACATTTTAAGTATTTGTATTAGGAGCAGATTTTAATATATCAATGCAATGGTATCCAAGACTACTGAGGAAAGGCACACATGTCTCAGTAACTTCTGGTGAGTAACAATCAATCTATTTCTAATGAACAGATGACATTGCAATATTTTATATTCTTCATTATATTTTTATTATGTTGGTTTAAACTTTACTTAAACTAGAATACCAGCAAAAAAAAAAAAAAAAACATAATACATTGTGATGCTGCTTTTGATTATTGGGGGAAAGGCACAATGGTCACAGTTACATCACGTAAGCAAAGCTTTTTTCTCTTATTTTGATTTTAAAACTTTCAGTATTTTATTTCTAAGAAATACAGCTGTGACACCTTTCAGGTTAATCTGTTATAATCAGTAGACTCAATTTAAACTGGAACTTGTTTGCCAAAGCCAATGAAAATATGTCAGATGGTAGATTGTCATGAAGTAACCTACCATGGTCAGGGTAGATATTTGGGAATAGGTTTTCGTATGCAGTGGTTAATGATTTGCCAGACTGTGACTACGCTTTTGACTACTGGGGAAAAGGCACTATGGTCACTGTCACCTCAGGTATGTAATTTTATCGTTTCTGACTAGAAAATGAAATTCCTAATCACATCATTAAAATTTATTTCATCATTTTCATGTAGTCACAAGCATTGGCCAGTGATGAGACAGCCAACAGTATTTTCTAACCTGACAAAGAATTTGACAAAAGTTTAAAACTCTTGGCTTTTTAGTTCAGTTGAAACTAAAGTCGATCAACAGGTGTGTATTTCTGTTTGGTTTTAACTGTTGCTGAAACCAAACTCTATGGCATAAAGGAATGGGTTATTAGAGTAATGAGTTTTTGTAAGAAGTGTGAATTGACTCTCTTAACTGTGACAACTGGGCTTTCGACTACTGGGGAAAAGGCACTATGGTAACTGTGTCATCAGGTAAGATTTGTACCATTTAAAATCTACAGTACGATATATTTCAGACTGTGAAGTGTCATGTTTAAGTTATATTGTAACTTCTCCTCATGTCAAGTCTCAGTTCAAAAGGGAATTGTTTTAAAACATGTACTGTAAAAAGTCAAACAGCGATAATCTCAGTAGAACACAATGATTGACATTTATGACTAATGTGTTTTAGGTCATTAAAGTGGATTTTATAACAGTTGGATTAAATAAATGTTATGGTAGACTTTTTTGCGCTCGGCAGTAGTAGTTGTAGCCTTTTCATACTAACAGCTAAGTAGATTCAGCACTGTGCTACTACGGTGCTTTTGACTACTGGGGAAAGGGTACAATGGTAACCGTTTCATCAGGTAAGAACGCTATTTAATCTCATACAGAATTGCTGAAATTGAACAAAAATAATAAATTTTTCTCAGAATATGCCATCAACTCAGTTAATGAATGTTTACTGACTTTTCACCTTCCTTCCTTCAAATTCAAAAACTTATTAATGAATATTGTCAAAGTTATGTATTTAAAGTATTTTACCGATTTGTATCTAGAATAATTACCACAAATAATATTATTGAGGGAGGTTAATCTTGGCGCAACAAAAAAAACTCTAAATAAATGGGATAGAGAAACATAAAGATCTGTCTATGGAGGTAACTTAAAATTTCCACATTCAACATTTTGAAGGTAATGCCTCACATGCTGAGCTTTTTTACACTGCTGAATCAGCTCAGTTGACTTCTGTCTGTTTTATCCAATGTTCAGTTAAAAATGTCTTATGTTTATATTCTTGGTATTTCAATCGCACTTTTGTTTTTCCTTTCTTAGCAACATCAACTGCTCCAACTGTGTTTCCTCTGAGCCCATGTAGTTCTGGAACTGGAGACATGATCAGTCTTGGCTGCCTTGCCACCGGCTTCACACCTTCCTCACTGACTTTCACATGGGACAAAAATGGGGCTGCCTTGACGGACTTCATTCAGTACCCTCCTGTACAGAAAGGAAATGTCTACACAGGAGTCAGTCAGATCCAAGTGAGAAAACAGGACTGGAATGACAAGACAAATTTCAAGTGTACTGCTACACATCCTGCGGGAACTGATGGAGCTATACTTAAACCACCAAGTAAGACCTATGTTAATCCCTATACAAATGCCTTTTAGTAGTTGATTTGAGTAGTTTTACATGGCAGAGCTGTTAACATATTTTAAATTTGTGCAACAATGTTAATGTTATAAAATTAAATGTATTCATTACATAATGTAACTGATAATTGATCATTGGTAGGCTATTACAAGAAAACTGAAATAGAACACAGTATCAACCAGAACACCCTTACTCGAAAACAGGCTTAGATTTTTCAGTACAAATAATTTTCCTCTAATCAAGTACTACTACGTTACTTCTGATGAGGACAAATGTGTAACCTTACATGGCAGCATGTTTTATATAAGATAATTTGGTGACCTTATATCAAACTGCTAATTCAAGTTTTTGATAATTGTAATTATATTTAATTATATATCATTATATTTCTATAACACAAGTCATGCAATAAATGTAGTTCAAAGTGTTTTAAGAAAAAAAAAGACAAAATTAAATAATTGTACTAAGGGATATAACTGTTTTAAAAAGAAATAGGCCTATACTCCAACCTGTCAATTGAAGGAAACATTAACATATAAGACAGCAGACAAATGAAATACAACTTTTACAAATTAAAAAGGAAAATATATCATTAACTATTATGGATTTCATAACTAGTTGTCCTAGCACGCAAACCAAACAATGAGGTGGACTGAGAAGGCTGAAGCTTGCTCATGTATATTCAGCTTCTAACTCTGTCTTTTTTATTTTTTACTAATATACTATATGTCCTCTGCACTTGACTAAGAACAGATTGTTGCAGTGTGCTCTGCTTCTTTCCGTTTGTCTGCATAATTCCATTTCTCCCTAATCTCTGTCTGCCACCACTTTCACTGTATGTCGATATCATTAAGTTGTAATAATTAATAATTAACATGAAATCTTTGTTTGCTTGCATGAAAAATTAATGTATATGCAGAAGCAAGCATTAAAGATCTGTTGTTCAGTTATGTATATTTTTAACTTTGAAATCTTGTTTTCCTTTTGATTCTTTCTGTGTTTTAGTATAAAGTTACAATTAACTTGAGGAGTGTGATCAATATGTGCATTTGTGTGTGCAAGTTGCATAACATACAATAGTACAAAAAAGTCATGAACTCACTTACATTCTAATAAACAGTCATTCTAGATTACATGAACATTGTAGCACTTTATTCATCTCTGCTTCTGCATATATATATATACAAGTCATTCTCTGCTTCTGCATATATATATTTGTGTATGTGTTTGTTTTTCAGCGGTTTTGTCTCAATTGCCAATCAGTCTTAAAGTGTTGGCCTCCTCTAATGATGAAAAGGAGGCATCCTTCTCCTGCTATGCTAAAGATTTTTCACCAAAAGATTATGACATCAAATGGCTGAAAAGTGGAGAGGAAATCAACAACAAAATATACGAGATCAAAACGCCAACTACAACAAATTTGAAGAATGGAACTAAGCTGTACAGTGCAGCAAGTTTTCTCACAGTGCCATCCCAGGATTTGCTTCCTCAAACTGAGTTTACATGCGAGTTCAAGGGGAAAAAGGATAACGGATATCAATTCACTAATTCATCTGTGATCTACAACAAAAGAAGTAAGTAAATTTCAGAATTTTCTTTGAAAATTTTACATGAAGTTCATTTAAATTTCAATGGTTTTCAGCCTTTTCATTTCAATAATTGTTCATTAATATCTCCTTCAGCATCTCCAGAATGTAATGCACCAGATGTGGAGATAAAGATTGAAGGCCCCAAAGTAGAGGATCTGTTTTTACATGGAAAAGGAACTATAACATGTAAAGTCAACGAGCAAGGTGTTGACAAGATTTTTTGGGAGGACCAGTACGGAAACGAAATGACTGGAGCCTTGCAGGGCCCCTTCAATGGAAAACCATTGAGCCTTCCGCTTGACATCTCATATGACGAATGGAGCAATGGGGTAAAGCGCAACTGTGTTGTTGAACATGAAAATTTCCAGGAACCACTCAAGAAACTCTATGAAAGGAATACCGGTAAGACTGTTCAGCAATTATGCTCTAAAACCTGTGTTTAATTCTTCTTCTCTGACATCAAACACATTATGAATCTTATTTCTAGGTGTATTTTATAGCAGAGATTTCTTAATGTAATGTAGGCACTTTTATATGTGGCAGGAGGCCTAATTGTTCTTTCATGCTTACAGGAGGAGAGACTCAGCGTCCTTCAGTATTTATGCTGCCACCAGTAGAACACACTAGAACAGAAACAGTGACCCTGACTTGCTATGTGAAAGACTTCTTCCCTCATGAGGTTTTCGTGTCTTGGCTTGTTGATGACGAGGCAGCCTCAGACTCAAAATACAAGTTCAGTACCACAAACCCTGTAAAAAACAATGGATCCTATTCTGCTTATGGCCAGTTATCACTCGGCCTTGATGAGTGGAAAAACAATAACATGGTGTATAGCTGTGTAGTTTACCACCAATCTGTGGTTAACAATATTAAAGCCATTGTCAGATCCATTGGGCAAAGAACATCTGAAAACACCAACCTGGTCAACCTCAACATGAACATCCCTGAAACGTGCAAGGCCCATTAGATGTTATTTTGTGTTGCTGTGTCCTCTGCTGTTTGTTGTTTAATGTCCGTTGCTTGTGATACGACATTGTGTTTGTCTTTTTAATGCAGATTCAAAATCAAAATAAAAAAAGCACTTTGTAACTCTGTTGTTGTTTGTCACATGCAGTTAATGTCTTAATTCAACCAGTATTTAGAGCTACATGTTGATTGTGTGTGTGCAGTTGCAGTGCAATTCTAACACAAAAACAATTAGTGTACATATCAGCAAGTGACAGTAACAATATATCAAAGTCTCAACATCATTTTGTATTCACTAGAAAAACGCTGTCATCACACCTCACTAACTTCAGGCAAACATTCTATTAAATGGATCACATTTGTTCATTTTTGTTTGTAGTTGGTCACTGAACAGTATGTAACTTGTCCTTGTGTATGTGTGTTTACTCTACTGGGTCTTGCACCACAAACACAAGATAGATGACTAACTCTGGATCTGTGGTCTCTCAGTCAAATGATGAGCTGATTCACAAGCCAAGTCATGCATGCCACGCCAATAAAGGAGTCTTTCAAAAGCAAATCGGCATCACTGTAGAACCACTTTAATAAACCTAATCAACATTTTAGAAAGACAGGCAAAAATATTAGCCTTATGGTGCACTCATAACAATATAATAAGTACAAAGACATAAGCCAGCACTTTCTTTCTTTAAATCAATTTATGGTTGTCTATTTTATACTTGGAATGACTGACTGACTGACTGGTTTACTGATTGAATCCACTATGACCTATAAAGTTATAAATATATTTATCTACTGTAAGTAACTAATTGAGTTTACTGGTCTTTGTCTCATGACTTTGTTCAAAGCTGGTTGTGGATTGGCCCAGTATTGACTGAGTAATTATTGTACATTAGATCCAGAGATCCTGATCGACTCAAACAGTACCATGGAGGTAGAAGAAGATAACATGGGAGGCACAGCCCTCACCTTCATCCTTCTCTTCCTCATCACTCTGCTGTTCACCATTGGAACCACTGTTTTCAAGGTAACAATGAGTTTATATGTTTGAGATGTTTTATGTATTCAAACAACATGGCATAAAATAACATGATAGGAAAAATGTCAGTAACACATAACAATCATTGTAATGTGATCACTCCATAAGTACCTCAGTAGATGTTACAATGCATTATGAATGTTTGACTGCATCTAATTGCTGTTGTAAATACTTTATTTACCACTCTGACCAATACCTGAAACAACAATAACACTATATTGAGTCATGTCTTATCAAAAATGTAAAATTTATTTCAAGTTTCCAGGCTATTATATTGAATTTAAATAATGTATGTTGCTGTTATTGTTACTCTTGTTGTATATTCAACATTAAATAAAAATATTATTTTCTCATTCAAGCTAAATTAGTTTATCAAATATGTAAAACAACCTAAAAAACAAGCAAGTTGTAACACATTATTTTCCCAAATGCGTTTCTATCTCTGCCATATATATTTATATTACAATTTACCAGAAAGGTACATGCATGGTGCAGTGCCTCACTTAACAATTAACACTTAACTAATGAGGTTGAGTTGACTTTATAAAGACCTTAAGATGGCTTTGGAAATAAAATAAATATTTAGGTACTAGTGATACATTTTTTACTTTAACAATGTATTGACCTTACAAAGAGCATTCAGAATTTATGGCTGTATTTTATGATGCAGCATAGGAATATCATCATTTTGGTGCATATTAATAATCCAGATTTTTATGTTTTTTTTCTGTCGTTTCAGGTTAAATGAAACAAGACAAACTTTCTTTAAAAAAAAAAAGAATTTCTCTTACATTTTATCTTATACACTCATATTACCATGTAAGTAATCACTATTTTCCTTTTTCATTAATTTACAAAAAATACAAAATTTAAAAATAATTACAAAATCTTAATGTCTTTCTGAAAATAAATATTTAGATGAAGATAACACTTGATGTTTCTACTCCAAATTTTTTCTCTCTCATTTTGAAACTGTATTGTCTTGTTTCACTTATGGAAGTTTAATACCTAATAATCCTGACAGAGCTATTTAACACTTTGGGGTTTTTTTTCATGATTTTATTATGTAATATGATGTTTTGTTCATCACCTCACCAGCACCTGGATTCAGCAGCCCTTGTTCATCTCAACATGTAAATGTGGAGATTTTACAGTTGGTTAGTTTTCAAGTCTGATAATACACTCGAAAACTAAAACCTTTAGCAAAGTCATGAGAGGCCATATGAAATCTTTGTGAAAACATATGTAAACTGATATGAGATATTTAAATGTGCACTCTGTTTCTCTTACTGGCATAACCACACCTCACACTTGATGTCTGTGATGCACCGTTGCTCCTTGTGTTGTTTAACTTCTGCATTTTGGTACTTCTTTGGGACCTGGGTGTTACTCAATGCTTCTACTTGTTGCTACCTCTGATCACTCTGCCCTATCATGCTGCAACATCTGTGCAACAGACTTCCAGCCTGATCGCCACCTGACTTTAAGACACCAGACACTGTAAAAGTACAACTCTGCCATCTAACCTAAATACTAAGATATTACACTTAGAATTGAGACTATACAGTTGGTTACTTGACCAAAATCAGAAGGTATGTATAACTGAAGAGATAAAATCAGCCCATATTTGAAAAATGTTCACATCTAACATTTGGAATGAGGCAAGTAAAGACTAAATAGTCTCTGCTCTATCTCAGGGCCGCGGGTCGTCTCTCCAAACATCACATTGTACCCTGTCTGGGAAGGTGAATCTGGGGCCTCACCAGTCAGACTCATCTGCACTCTTAGTGCCTTCTTTCCAGACAAATTGAATGTGGAGTGGCAACAGGAAAACATCTCTACATACTGTACCAATTCAAAGAAAGCTGCAGAGTGTGGAGGAGTGGAGAAAACCTTCAGTCTAAGCAGTGAGATTCAGCCACATATGACGGAGTGGAAAAGAGGCTCAAGTTTTACATGCAAGGCCATTCACGACAAAAAAGAATGAAAAAAACAACAAATATTTCTCACAGATTTGCTCAGGGGGGACTTGTTGTGCTTGAGTGTCACATCACACAACTCTCTTCAAGTGACCTCTACATCACCTTTCAGGCCAATAACGTTGACATCTCTGACAGAGAGTATGTTGATCTTCCTGAAGCCCCGGGCCTTCGTTCAATCACTAGACACTTCACTGTCCCTCAAAGTTGTTGGAACAAAGGCACAAATTTCACCTGCAAAGTCCATCAAGGCTTCTCCAGCAGCAGATTCATCTCCCATTTAGTGGACCCATCTGTGGAAATTCTTTAGGTCCCCAGTGAAGAGTCAGGACCACAGAGACTCTTGTGCTCTGGATGGGGCTTCAATCCTCAAATTAAATGGTTTTCTGACTCTCATCAAAGACCTTATTCAAACAATGAGGTCACCATGAGTGCAGATGGACGTGTGGCAGTGACTAGTGAACTTCATATCCATTAAAAAGAATGTAAAACCGAGAAGGTCTTCACCTGTGAAGTGTCTGACAGCTCTCTGAATGCAAATGTCAGCAGGAACATCAGCCTGTGTTCAGGTAAAATTAGACCATATGATATTATCATAATCATATTAATGTAGTGATAAATAATAGATAAATTGAATACATTCATACTGTTTCTGAATCGTCCATTATGTATTTGGATTTTTTTTTTATCATAATCATTACTTAATAGTTTTCTCTCCCTTAAATGTCATTGTTCTTTTTGTTCTTTTCTTTTGTTCTCTTTGATGATTCAAGCTGGTTCTGATTAAATGATGATACTGAAGTAGCCAAAAGAAAACCCCTTAATTGCTGTTGTCTTCTTTTTGTTTCTCAAGACCTGTATCAACCAAGAGTGAAGTTATTACAACCAACTCCCTCTGAGCTCTTTATGTTAGGCATCCTCACACTCATTTGCCTAGTTTCTGGATATTCTCCATCCAACATCATAGTGTACTGGGAAGAGAATGGCCAGAGACTGCCACCAACTCGCTACACCAGCAATGCTGCATGGAAATACCCAGGGAGCAGCACTTATTCAATGAGCAGCAGACCAAACGTATCCAAAACTGAAGACAAGAGTTCTACATATTCTTGTGCTGTGAGACATGAGTCATCTGAAAGGCCTTTTGGCCTTTCCTCCTCTTTCCTCATCTCTTTCATCTATAGTGACTTGACTACCATAATTAAGACTTAATGATGATGATCACAGGACAAATCCTATTTCATGATTCAAATGACATATGACCTGATTAGTTTTAGATTCCTTTTTTTTCAAAATTTCTTTTTCATTTTCTTTTCTTTTTTTATACTTTTGTTATCATGGAATTTTATGGAGGTGGTTCATTCTATGTTCATTTCTTTTGATGCTTCAATGTATTTGCTGTGGAATGTATGTTACGCAAATGTGTGAGAGGAAAAAAGACAAAGTAAATGAAGCTTCAAATTCTGATTTTCAGATTAAAATTCTAATATAGTCGACAGAAATTCAAAGACTGCACTCGTTCTTGCATTTAATAAAGTAAAGATTCAAAGATGGAAAACAATGTTTGTCACAATTTGCCTCATTCATTACAATACATCAAATGATGAAATACCAATATATATAAAACATTATACTGTACCATGTCACAGTACCACGCCTGTATTACTCAGACTGTCCACAAGAGTGAGACAAAGTTCAACATTCAATTGTGGTGATTGACCACATCTATGTGAAACACTGGTCATGTAGTAATTTGAAGCTGCTCACAGGTCTGAACTGAACTTTCTGAATGGAATGATACAGAGATATATTTACTGAAAAACACACACTGTTTTTAAGTCTCATCTCCTTAGCATACATACACGGACACAGACAGTCACTGTAAATGGGGGCATACTGCCTTTCATTTAGAGGTTTGTGTTTGGGCCTTTGTATGAGTATATTGATGACATTATGCACATCCATGGTTACGATTGGCTACCTCTGGGTGTTCTTGCTCAAGCTCAAGTATAAAATTCAATCTTTCATCGTTACTGTGGTAACTGTGACAGATGACAATATACTGTTTGTAATACCAATTATTAGCCAATCACAAGAGTCAAGGTGGTACTTACTCTTCTTTCTTGACCAAGTGTGGCACAGCTAATACTTTATATAATTTCAACATTTTCATATGAGCAATAATTGAAAAGCTTTCCTATTCGAAAAGTGTTCCTGAATGCAGCTCATGTAAGGTTACTTTTTATATATATGTTCACGACTCGAATTACAAGGGCCTGAGATAATCTGTTTCTTCTAATGTATTTATTCATTCATTTTTATAGTTTATTTTTCAGGTTGTCAGTTGTTCATAAAGATAAGCTGGTGATGTAATTGTTTAATTCAACCAGTGTACTTTAATCACCTTCAAACTCATGATTAATAAGTCTAACATGTTCTTGGGAATAATATAATATAATATCAAGCTTCCAAACCAACAACTTCACTTTTAAGGTTTTTTATAATATCAGTTTGTTGTGGGACATTTTTGTTCACATATCAGCTGTTTAATGAAAGGCAGAAAAGAAAGTGAAGACTACCATTTAGTGGGAAAGGCTTTATGGAGATTAAATAGTCAGCCATTTGGTCTTGATGCAGTAAATTGAAAGGGCATGTGATTGAGACCACAAAAAAAAAAAAATGTTACTCCTTGCAGCCAAACTGAACCTTGCACATCCAGATGTAGGCGTTTTGTGTGGACAACAAGGCCTTATAGCTGTGTTTTTATATGTGGCCATTAGCAGCAGCAGCATTGGAAGTGTGCAGTGGAGAGAAGACATTTAGAGGTGATATCACTCAATGTTTCCTTTCATGCAATAGCAATGTGACTGTACAGGTCATTGCCCCTGTACCATCCTGTTCTGCCACACTCCACCCCAACCCGAGAAGCTGCTGTCTCTGGCAAAGTACCTCAGTGGCTTTTGGGCTTTGATGACATGACATGATGTACAATTCACCTCACAAAGGAGAACATATACGAGGCAACTATAACTTGCAAGGCTTTTTGTAAGGGCTGATTAATGGTGTGGGAAAGACACCTCTACAGGAGCCTGTCCTGTAGAACAACTGCATAACTTGAGAAAACTTACTGGATCATCTCATAATGCTAAGAGTATTGAATTGAATTTGAAAGTTTAGCTAATGCTCATAAGTATTGGTGTGGGTTAACTTTTTTCAGTTTTTAAATATAAATTAAATAAATGCAGACATTGAAACTGTATTATGTAATTGACTCAAATTACTTTAATTCCTCAGAGATTTACAGAGTACAGCTATTATCTAGAGAATGCAACCACATCCTTGTGGAACCTGCTAATGCAAACTCCCCGATGCAATCTTTGCAATCACATCTCAAACACTTCCTTTTTTTATTTAATAATTTATGAAATTGATCTATTTAAACTGAAATTCTACACCTGAATTACTTTCATACTTGTGTTGTACTGTATGTTAAAATTTGACAATAGTGTGACTTAATACTTAATATTAATTTGGCTGAATCTAGTTCATCTGGTTGTGTGAGGTCCATGCTGCAGGAACTGGAGCAGACAGGATTGTCTGACAGAGAGGAAGTGTTCAATAGTTGTTGACAAAAACACAAAATTTTATATAACCCAGACCTCAGGAAGTGAATATCTCAAGGGAAATGGTTAACAAATGATACAGTGGAAACTGCTTTGTCAGTGAAACCTGTTTATGTTGCTTGGTTTAAAAAAAACATTTTAAGTATTTGTATTAGGAGCAGATTTTAATATATCAATGCAATGGTATCCAAGACTACTGAGGAAAGGCACACGTCTCAGTAACTTCTGGTGAGTAACAATCAATCTATTTCCAATGAAGACATTTCAATATTTTATATTCTTCATTATATTTTTATTATGTTGGTTTAAACTTTACTTAAACTAGAATACCAGAAAAAAAAAAAAAAAAAAACATAATACATTGTGATGCTGCTTTTGATTATTGGGGGAAAGGCACAATGGTCACAGTTACATCACGTAAGCAAAGCTTTTTTCTCTTATTTTGATTTTAAAACTTTCAGTATTTTATTTCTAAGAAATACAGCTGTGACACCTTTCAGGTTAATCTGTTATAATCAGTAGACTCAATTTAAACTGGAACTTGTTTGCCAAAGCCAATGAAAATATGTCAGATGGTAGATTGTCATGAAGTAACCTACCATGGTCAGGGTAGATATTTGGGAATAGGTTTTCGTATGCAGTGGTTAATGATTTGCCAGACTGTGACTACGCTTTTGACTACTGGGGAAAAGGCACTATGGTCACTGTCACCTCAGGTATGTAATTTTATCGTTTCTGACTAGAAAATGAAATTCCTAATCACATCATTAAAATTTATTTCATCATTTTCATGTAGTCACAAGCATTGGCCAGTGATGAGACAGCCAACAGTATTTTCTAACCTGACAAAGAATTTGACAAAAGTTTAAAACTCTTGGCTTTTTAGTTCAGTTGAAACTAAAGTCGATCAACAGGTGTGTATTTCTGTTTGGTTTTAACTGTTGCTGAAACCAAACTCTATGGCATAAAGGAATGGGTTATTAGAGTAATGAGTTTTTGTAAGAAGTGTGAATTGACTCTCTTAACTGTGACAACTGGGCTTTCGACTACTGGGGAAAAGGCACTATGGTAACTGTGTCATCAGGTAAGATTTGTACCATTTAAAATCTACAGTACGATATATTTCAGACTGTGAAGTGTCATGTTTAAGTTATATTGTAACTTCTCCTCATGTCAAGTCTCAGTTCAAAAGGGAATTGTTTTAAAACATGTACTGTAAAAAGTCAAACAGCGATAATCTCAGTAGAACACAATGATTGACATTTATGACTAATGTGTTTTAGGTCATTAAAGTGGATTTTATAACAGTTGGATTAAATAAATGTTATGGTAGACTTTTTTGCGCTCGGCAGTAGTAGTTGTAGCCTTTTCATACTAACAGCTAAGTAGATTCAGTACTGTGCTACTATGGTGCTTTTGACTACTGGGGAAAGGGTACAATGGTAACCGTTTCATCAGGTAAGAACGCTATTTAATCTCATACAGAATTGCTGAAATTGAACAAAAATAATAAATTTTTCTCAGAATATGCCATCAACTCAGTTAATGAATGTTTACTGACTTTTCACCTTCCTTCCTTCAAATTCAAAAACTTATTAATGAATATTGTCAAAGTTATGTATTTAAAGTATTTTACCGATTTGTATCTAGAATAATTACCACAAATAATATTATTGAGGGAGGTTAATCTTGGCGCAACAAAAAAAACTCTAAATAAATGGGATAGAGAAACATAAAGATCTGTCTATGGAGGTAACTTAAAATTTCCACATTCAACATTTTGAAGGTAATGCCTCACATGCTGAGCTTTTTTACACTGCTGAATCAGCTCAGTTGACTTCTGTCTGTTTTATCCAATGTTCAGTTAAAAATGTTTTATGTTTATATTCTTGGTATTTTAATCGCACTTTTGTTTTTCCTTTCTTAGCCACGTCAAAGGGGCCAATTGTGTTTCCTCTGATGCCATGTGGCTCTGGGACAGGAGACATGGTCAGTCTTGGCTGTTTTGCCACCGGCTTCACACCCTCCTCACTGACGTTCACATGGAACAAAAATGGGACTGCCTTGACGGACTTCACTCAGTACCCTCCAGTACAGAAAGATAATTATTATATGGGAGTCAGTCAAATCCGAGTGAGTAGACAGGATTGGGACAAAAGGGAGATTTTCCAGTGTGCTGTGGCACATGTTGCCGGAAAAGCACAGACTTCTCACATCATAAAGCCACGTAAGACCGATTTTAAGTCCTATATAAATGCCTTATGAATTCTAGTAGTGTCACATGACAGAGCTGTTTGCATATTTTAATAGCAGCATGTTTTATATAAGGTCATTTGGTGACCTTATGATAAATACCTAATTGAAACTAAAATTTTCTTGTTGATAATTTTAAATAATTTGTATTTATATAACACAATTTTTGCAATAAATGTAGCGCAGATTGCTTTATGCAGAAAACAAAACAAAACAAAAAAAACTAGGGAAATAAAATAGGTTTAATTGTTTTAGAAAGAAATATAGGCCTAACCTCTAACCTCCTAATCCAAAGAAAACATAAACACATAGGACAGCAGACAAATTACATACTACTTTTGCAAAAATTGAATAGGTAGACATATCCTTAACTATTATCGATTTCATAACTAGTTGTCATGCAAATCAAACAGTGAGGTGGAATGAGAAGGCTAAAGCTTGCTCATGTATATTCAGCTTCTGATTCTGTCATTTTTATTCTTTATTAATATACTACATGTCCTCTGAATCTGACTAAGAACAGATTGTTGCAGTGTGCTCTGCTTCTTTCCGTTTGTCTGCATAATTCCATTTCTCCCTAATCTCTGTCTGCCACCACTTTCACTGTATGTTGATAATTAACATTCACATTAAGTCTATTTGCTTGCCTAAAAAAATCAAAGTATATGTACAAGCCAGCATAAAGGATCCGCTCTTCAGTTGTGTATTTTTTTTACTATTAAAATCTGATTTTCCTTTTGACTCTTTCTGCACGTTAGTAACAAGCTACAGATAATTTGAGGAGTGTTACCAATATGTGCATTTGTATGTGCAACTTGCAGAACATATAGTGGTACGGAAAAGTCATAAACTCAGTTATATTCTAAATCTACAGCAAATTTACATTACATGAACACTGTAGCATATTGTTCATCTCTGCTTCTGCATATATATATTTGTTTGTTTTTCAGTGGATTTCTATCAGCCGCCGATTCTTAAAGTGTTGGCCTCCTCTAATGATGAAAAGGAGGCATCCTTCTCCTGCTATGCTAAAGATTTTTCACCAAAAGATTATGACATCAAATGGCTGAAAAGTGGAGAGGAAATCAACAACAAAATATACGAGATCAAAACGCAAACTGCAACAAAGTTGGAGAATGGAACTAAGCTGTACAGTGCAGCAAGTTTTCTCACAGTGCCATCCCATGATTTGCCTTCTCACACCCAGTTTACATGTGAGTTCAAGGGGAAAAAGGACAAGATTGATGTATTCACTAATTCATCTGTGCTCTACAACAATAATGGTGAGTAAATTTCATTTCTTTGAAAATTTTATATGAAGTTCATTTCAATTTTAATGGTTTTCAGCCTTTTCCATTCAATAATTGTTCATTAATATCTCCTTCAGAATCTCAAGGATGTAATGCACCAGATGTGGAGATAGAGATCGAAGGCCCCAAAGTAGAGGATTTGTTTTTACATGGAAATGGAACTATAACATGTCAAGTCAAGGAAAACAAGTTAGGTGTTGACAAGATTTTTTGGGAGGACCAGTACGGAAACGAAATGACTGGAGCCTTGCAGGGCCCCTTCAATGGAAAACCATTGAGCCTTCCACTTGACATCTCATATGACGAATGGAACAATGGGGTAAAGCGCAACTGTGTTGTTGAACATAAAAATTTCTATGATCCCTTCAAGAAACTCTATGAAAGGAATACCGGTAAGACTGTTCAGCAATTATGCTCTAAAACCTGTGTTTAATTCTTCTTCTCTGACATCAAACACATTATGAATCTTATTTCTAGGTGTATTTTATAGCAGAGATTTCTTAATGTAATGTAGGCACTTTTATATGTGGCAGGAGGCCTAATTGTTCTTTCATGCTTACAGGAGGAGAGACTCAGCGTCCTTCAGTATTTATGCTGCCACCAGTAGAACACACTAGAACAGAAACAGTGACCCTGACTTGCTATGTGAAAGACTTCTTCCCTCATGAGGTTTTCGTGTCTTGGCTTGTTGATGACGAGGCAGCCTCAGACTCAAAATACAAGTTCAGTACCACAAACCCTGTAAAAAACAATGGATCCTATTCTGCTTATGGCCAGTTATCACTCGGCCTTGATGAGTGGAAAAACAATAACATGGTGTATAGCTGTGTAGTTTACCACCAATCTGTGGTTAACAATATTAAAGCCATTGTCAGATCCATTGGGCAAAGAACATCTGAAAACACCAACCTGGTCAACCTCAACATGAACATCCCTGAAACGTGCAAGGCCCATTAGATGTTATTTTGTGTTGCTGTGTCCTCTGCTGTTTGTTGTTTAATGTCCGTTGCTTGTGATACGACATTGTGTTTGTCTTTTTAATGCAGATTCAAAATCAAAATAAAAAAAGCACTTTGTAACTCTGTTGTTGTTTGTCACATGTAGTTAATGTCTTAATTCAACCAGTATTTAGAGCTACATGTTGATTGTGTGTGTGCAGTTGCAGTGCAATTCTAACACAAAAACAATTAGTGTACATATCAGCAAGTGACAGTAACAATATATCAAAGTCTCAACATCATTTTGTATTCACTAGAAAAACGCTGTCATCACACCTCACTAACTTCAGGCAAACATTCTATTAAATGGATCACATTTGTTCATTTTTGTTTGTAGTTGGTCACTGAACAGTATGTAACTTGTCCTTGTGTATGTGTGTTTACTCTACTGGGTCTTGCACCACAAACACAAGATAGATGACTAACTCTGGATCTGTGGTCTCTCAGTCAAATGATGAGCTGATTCACAAGCCAAGTCATGCATGCCACGCCAATAAAGGAGTCTTTCAAAAGCAAATCGGCATCACTGTAGAACCACTTTAATAAACCTAATCAACATTTTAGAAAGACAGGCAAAAATATTAGCCTTATGGTGCACTCATAACAATATAATAAGTACAAAGACATAAGCCAGTACTTTCTTTATTTAAATCAATTTATGGTTGTCTATTTTATACTTGGAATGACTGACTGACTGACTGGTTTACTGATTGAATCCACTATGACCTATAAAGTTATAAATATATTTATCTACTGTAAGTAACTAATTGAGTTTACTGGTCTTTGTCACATGACTTTGTTCAAAGCTGGTTGTGGATTGGCCCAGTATTGACTGAGTAATTATTGTACATTAGATCCAGAGATCCTGATCGACTCAAACAGTGCCATGGAGGTAGAAGAAGATAACATGGGAGGCACAGCCCTCACCTTCATCCTTCTCTTCCTCATCACTCTGCTGTTCACCATTGGAACCACTGTTTTCAAGGTAACAATGAGTTTATATGTTAGAGATGTTTTATGTATTCAAACAACTTGGCATATAATAACATGATAGGAAAAATGTCAGTAACACAACAATCATTGTAAGTACCTCAGTAAATGTTATAATGCATTATGAATGTTTGACTGCATCTTATTGCTGTTACGAATACCTGAAACAACAATAACACTTGCGTAACTTCATGCTGTGAACCACATTAAATTTTAATAAGCATAAGGAGATTCACATATAATACTTTAAAGTTGTTGAAATAAATGTAATCTGGGGTATATTGAGTCATGTCTTATCAAAAATGTAACATTTATTTCAAATTTCCAGTCAATTATATTGAATTGAATAATGTTTGTTGCTGTTATTTTTACTCTTGTTGTATGTTCAATATTGAAAAAATATATAATTTTCTCATAATGTAAGATAAATTAGTTTATCAAATACATAAAACAACCTTTATTATGTATAATGAGATTTACAGACATTTCTTTAGATGCTGAAATGACTGTGGTAACCTGTGGTATATTGAGTCATGTCTTATCAAAAATGTAACATTTTCACCCCACCAATCTTTATTTCAAATTTGAAGGCTATTATAGTGAATTGAATACTGTCTGGTGCTACTATTCCTGTTACTGTACATTCAATATTATTCAAAAATATTATGTTCTCATAATTTAAGATAAATTAATCACTTACATACAACACCCTACAAAAGAAGGCAGTTGTAACATATAATTGTCACAAAACGTCAAAACATTTTTATTGGTGCTATATATATTTATGTTACAACTTACCAGAATAGTACATGCTAGTGCAGTTCCTCACTTTACAATAATGAAGTTGAGCTGACTTTCCTAAGATCTTAAGATGGCTTTGGAAATATAATAGATATCTAGGTACCAGGGATGAATGTTTTACTTTAACAATGTAGGACATCCTTAAAAAGAACTCAGACCAGCATTCAGGATTTATATGTGTATTATAATATGTTATGATGCAGCAACTGTTATGTGCATGAGTGGGTCATATATTACATTTCCAATATAACCACACATTTATGTGGCAACAAATAAGAATTTCATCATTTGGTGCATGTTACTAATCCATATTTTTATGATTTTTTCTGTCATTTCAGGTTAAATGAAAGAAGAAAAAAATTCTTTAAAAAAAACATTCACAAAAAAAAACATTCACATTTTTTCTTGTATTCTCATAGTATCATGTAAGTAATCACTATACAATTACAAAATGTAAAACCAAAACCTTTATGTCTTTGAAAATAAATGTTTACATGACATACCACTTGATGTTGCAACTCTGTTTTTATCTTGTCTAGTTTTACTTTTGGAAGTTTAATACACAATAATCATGACAGAGCTATTTAACATTTTATCTTTTTTTCATTATTTTATTATGTCATCAATCATATTGTCATCAACTCACCAGCACCTGGATTCAGCAGCCCTTGTTCATCTCAACATGTAAATGTGGAGATTTTACAGTTGGTTAGTTTTCAAGTCTGATAATACACTCGAAAACTAAAACCTTTAGCAAAGTCATGAGAGGCCATATGAAATCTTTGTGAAAACATATGTAAACTGATATGAGATATTTAAATGTGCACTCTGTTTCACTTACTGGCATAACCACACCTCACACCTGGTGTCTGTGATGCACCGTTGCTCCTTATGTTGTTTCACTTCTGCATTTTGGTACTTCTTTGGGACCTGGGTGTTACTCAATGCTTCTACTTGTTGCTACCTCTGATCACTTTGTCCTATCATGCTGCAACATCTGTGCAACAGACTTCCAGCCTGATCGCCACCTGACTTTAAGACACCAGACACTGTAAAAGTACAACTCTGCCATCTAGCCTAAATACTAAGATATTACACTTAGAATTGAGACTATACAGTTGGTTACTTGACCAAAATCAGAAGGTATGTATAACTGAAGAGATCAAATCAGCTCATATTTGAAAAATGTTCACATCTAACATTTGGAATGAGGCAAGTAAAGACTAAATAGTCTCTGCTCTATCTCAGGGCCGCGGGTCGTCTCTCCAAACATCACATTGTACCCTGTCTGGGAAGGTGAATCTGGGGCCTCACCAGTCAGACTCATCTGCACCCTTAGTGCCTTCTTTCCAGACAAATTGAATGTGGAGTGGCAAAAGGAAAACATCTCTACATACTGTACCAATTCAAAGAAAGCTGCAGAGTGTGGAGGAGTGGAGAAAACCTTCAGTCTAAGCAGTGAGATTCAGCCACATATGACGGAGTGGAAAAGAGGCTCAAGTTTTACATGCAAGGCCATTCACGACAAAAAAGAATGAAAAAAACAATAAATATTTCTCACAGATTTGCTGAAGGGGGAACCTGTGGTGCTCGAGTGTGACATCACACAACTCTCCTCAAGTGACCTCTACGTCACCTTTCAGGCCAACAATGTTGACATCTCTGACAGAGAGTATGTTGATCTTCCTGAAGTCCCAGGCCATCGTTCAATCACTAGACGCTTCACTGTCCCTAAAAGTCGCTGGAACAAAGGCACGAATTTATACTGCAAAGTCAATCAAGGCTTCTCCAGCAGCTTCGAGTCAAAAATAACAAGCAATATTTTTAGTGAGAGGAGTTACCATTTTTTCTCATTATGGCATTTGATTTGATGTCTCATTTCATTCTTTGTTGCACTGATTCATCTCCCATTTAGTGGACCCATCTGTGGAACTTCTATTGGTCCCCAGTGAAGAGTCAGGACCACAGAGACTCTTGTGCTCTGGATGGGGCTTCAATCCTCAAATTAAATGGTTTTCTGACTCTCATCAAATACCTTCTTCAAACATTGACGTCACCATGAGTGCAGATGGACGTGTGGCAGTGACCAGTAAACTTCAAATCCCTCAAAAAGAGTGGAAAACCGGGAAGGACAAATATTTCTCACAGATTTGCTCAGGGGGGACTTGTTGTGCTTGAGTGTCACATCACACAACTCTCTTCAAGTGACCTCTACATCACCTTTCAGGCCAACAACGTTGACATCTCTGACAGAGAGTACGTTGATCTTCCTGAAGCCCCGGGCCTTCGTTCAATCACTAGACGCTTCACTGTCCCTCAAAGTTGTTGGAACAAAGGCACAAATTTCACCTGCAAAGTCAATCAAGGCTTCTCCAGCAGCAGATTCATCTCCCATTTAGTGGACCCATCTGTGGAAATTCTTTAGGTCCCCAGTGAAGAGTCAGGACCACAGAGACTCTTGTGCTCTGGATGGGGCTTCAATCCTCAAATTAAATGGTCTTTGCAAAGACCTTATTCAAACAATGAGGTCACCATGAGTGCAGATGGACGTGTGGCAGTGACCAGTAAACTTCAAATCCCTCAAAAACAGTGAAAAACAGGGGAGGTCTTCACATGTGAAGTGTCTGACAGCTCTCTGAATGCAAATGTCAGCAAGAGCATCTGCCTGTGTTCAGGTAAAATTAAACCATATGATATTATCATAATCATATTAATGCAGTAATAATAAATAGATTGAATACATTCATACTGTTCTTGAATCATCCATTATGTATTTGGAAAAAAAAATTCTCATAATCATGTGTGTTGTGTGTTGTGTTTTCAATGTCATTGTTCTTTTTCTTTCTTTTCTTTTGTTCTCTTTTCAGTAACTCCAGCATCATCTCAGGTAGTTGGTGTATATGTTCAGGGACCACCACTCCAGGAGTTTCAGAACAGGGGACAAGTGACTATCACCACTCTTCTGGTCGGCCCTCATCTTAATGATTTCTCCATCACACTTTCTAAATTTCTATACTGAGCCATCAGTGAGTCACAGTAACGGCACAGAGACTTTGCAGAGCTTCTTCAATATGTCAACAGAGGATTGGCATGCATATAAACAAGTGTCTTGTGAAGCAAAGCAGCAGTGCTCCAACCAGAGCTACAAACACCATATAAGCAAAAGCAGAGGTAGTGTAAAACATAAAAAGCATGAAGTTACTTCTTGCCATTGTTAATAGCCGTTTCTGAATTTCTAGAGGTTCAACAAAGTTTCAGAGGGCAAAATTAAATCAGAAACTCACGATTAAAAAATATTCTCCATGATTCAAGCTGGTTCTGATGATGATGATTGCGATGATGATAACAAAGTAGCCAAAAGAAAACCTCTTTTTTACTATTGTTTTCTTTTTGTTTCTGAAGACCTGTATCAACCAAGAGTGAAATTATTACAACCAACTCCCTCTGAGCTCTTTATGTTAGGCGTCCTCACACTCATTTGCCTAGTTTCTGGATATTCTCCATCCAACATCATAGTGTACTGGGAAGAGAATGGCCAGAGACTGCAACCAACTCGCTACACCAACAGTGCTGCATGGAAATACCCAGGGAGCAGCACTTATTCAATGAGCAGCAGACCAAACGTATCCAAAACTGAAGACAAGAGTTCTACATATTCTTGTGCTGTGAGACATGAGTCATCTGAAAGGCCTTTTGAAAGCTATATAAATAATGTGTTTGGTGAGTTGAGAACTATCATTTAATACAATTGCAGTTGGCTCGTATTGTTCATTCTTATCTGGTCTCAATGTTGCGAAATAGCAGTCGTGTAGGCACAAAGATTAAGAAGAAAAGAAGCATATCGCCTTTAAAACCTTTGCACTTATTCACTTAAAGTGACTTCAAAATTTGTATTATTTTCCTTCAATTTCCAAGAAGAAACTGTCTAACATAACTTGTACATGCTCCCAGATTTTTCTTGCTCCATGACCTTCATCATGACAAAAAAAAACTCTTATGACTTTCCTCCCCAGCCACAGTGACCCACAGCATACCTTCAGCCACCTTGCTACAGGGCACAAATGAACTTGCATGCCTGGTCTTTGGCTTCAGCCCTCATCCATTAATATCACTTGGTATGATGGACCAAAGGAATTGTTGGACTACAACACTAGTGAGCCCCACAGAGGCCAGAACGGAAAGTTCAGTATCCAAAGCCACCTTCGTCTGTTCCAGGGCAACTGGTTACAAGGGAAAGTAATTACCTGCAGGGTGATGCATGTAAACACCACCCTATCCCTGAATATATCTAAACCAGGTACAAGTTCATCCACTGATCCGTTTTCTTACACTTTAAAGATTTCACGTCAAGTTGCCACTTATTTCATACATTGACTCAGTTTGGTAACTGCATAGATTATCTTATTAAAATCTCCTCATAGTCCTTCTATGATAACAAAGTCAATATAATAGTTCACTAAAAAATCTCAATTCTTTCACAGTAAAAGTAAAGATTCAAAGATGGAAAACAATGTTTGTCACAATTTGCCTCATTCATTACAATACATCAAATGATGACATACTGATATAAAACATTATACTGTACCATGTCACAGTACCACACCTGTATTACTCAGATTGTCCACAAGAGTGAGACAAAGCTTCATATGCAGCAGCAGTGATTGACCACCTCTATGTGAAACACTGGTCATGTAGTAATTTAAAGATGCTGACAAGTCTGACCTGAACCTACTAAATGGTATGATACAGAGAAACATTCACTGAAAAACACAGAGATAGCTTTTAAGTCTCCTTTCCATTCATACACATACACAAACAGTGTCACTAAATGTGTGTACACATTTGAGTAACTTTGAGTTAGACCTGCATGTTTGGGTCTGCATTTGTGTACCTTGTGGTTTTAAAGGAATTCACATCTGGGAGGGATGACACTAAGCACATCCAGATTTACCATTGGCTACCTCTGGGTAATCTGGCACTGTGTGTGCCCTGATTGGCTGGGGATCCCATGGCAGCCAGCCCAAATTTGTGACGCTGTTGCTGGGATGGAGTCACAGCATGCTGCTGCCAGTCTCAGTACCAAGGGGCCAGCAACAGGGAAGCAGGGCACCATGCCCAGCAGGCTGCCTGAGAGCGTCTTCCTGTCTAATACCCCCATACCCTCCCATTCTCTTATACCATGCCCCCTCTTTCTAGGTCCTTGTTCGACTCCTTCATTGGGTCCATACAAACCAGGGACAAGCAACAAACAAACATCCTCACACATACAGGAGAACTATCCCCTTATCAACAACTACTGTTGAGGTACCACTGAGCAAGGCAATGAACCACAAACTGTCCAGTGGCCAACAGTAGAGGTCTG